ACAACTGGAACATTTCATATAATCACAGCCTTTTTAGTGATTGCACCTGCAAAATAAGTCACCATGGGCCCCAAGAAAGCTTCTAGTGCCAACCCTACAGCAAAAAGGGTGAGAATTACTATGGAGATGAAGAAAGAGATCATTGATAAATATGAAAGTGGAGTGCGTATCTCTGAGCTGGTCAGGTTGTATAATAAACCCTAATCAACCATCGCTACTATTGTGGGCAAGAAAATGGCAATCAAGGAAGCTGTTCTTGCCAAAGATGCAACTATGTTTTTGAAACTGAGATCGCAAGTGATAGAAGATGTTGAGAGACTTTTATTGGTGTGGATAAATGAGAAACAGATAGCAGGAGACAGCATCTCTCAAGCGATCATATGTGAAAAGGCTAGGAAGTTGCATGACGATTTAATTAAAAAAATGCCGGCAACTAGTGATGTGAGTGAATTTAAGGCCAGCAAAGGTTGGTTTGAGAGATTTAAGAAGCGTAGTGGCATTCATAGTGTGATAAGGCATGGTGAGGCTGCCAGTTCGGACCACAAAGTGGCTGAAAAATATGTGCAAGACTTCAAGGAGTACATAGACAGTGAAGGACTGAAACCTGAACAAGTGTTTAATTGTGACGAAACAGGCCTGTTTTGGAAGAAAATGCCAAGCAGGACGTACATTACTCAGGAGGAAAAGGCACTTCCAGGACATAAGCCTATGAAAGACAGGCTTACTTTGTTGATGTGTGCCAATGCTAGTGGTGATTGCAAAGTGAAGCCTTTATTGGTGTATCACTCTGAAACCCCCAGAGTGTTCAGGAAAAACAATGTCCTCAAGGCTAATTTGTGTGTGCTTTGGAGGGCAAACAGTAAGGCATGGGTCACTAGGGACTTTTTCTATGACTGGTTACACCATGCATTTGCCCCGATGTGAAAAATTACCTAATTGAAAAGAAATTAGACCTTAAGTGCCTCCTGGTATTAGACAGTGCCCCTGGTCATCCTACAGATGTGGCAGTGACTTTCTAGGGACATGAGCTTCATTAAGGTGAAGTTTTTGCCTCCTAATACCACTCCTCTCCTGCAGCCCATGGACCAGCAGGTTATTTCCAACTTCAAGAAACTGTACACAAAAGCTATGTTTGAAAGGTGCTTTGTAGTGACCTCAGAAACTCAACTGACTCTAAGAGAGTTTTGGAGAGAGCACTTTAATATCCTCAATTGTGTAAACCTTATAGGTAAGGCTTGGGAGGAAGTGACTAAGAGGACATTGAACTCTGCTTGGAAAAAACTGTGGCCAGAATGTGTAGACAAAAGGGATTTGGAAGGGTTTGAGGCTAACCCTGAGAATCCTATGCCAGTTGAGGAATCCATTGTGGCATTGGGGAAGTCCTTGGGGTTGGAGGTTAGTGGGGAGGATGTGGAAGAGTTGGTGGTGGAGGACAGTGAAGAACTAACCACTGATGAGCTGCTAGATCATCTTGAGCAGCAAGAGGGCAGACCTGAGGAAACTGCTTCGGAGGAGGGGAGAGAGAAATTGAAGAAGTTACCTACTTCTAAGATTAAGGAAATCTGTGCAGTGTGGCTTAGTGCAAAGCTTTATGGATGATAATCACCCTGACACAGCTACTGCAAGCCGTGTTGGCAACCTGTACACTGACAATGTTGTGAACCACTTTAGGAAAGTCATAAAAGAACGAGAGGTGCAGGCCTCTATGGACAGATATGTTGTGCGACAGAAGTCCAGTGACTCTCAAGCTGGTCCTAGTGGCATTAAAAGAACAAGGGAAGTAACCCCAGAAAAAGACTTGCTGCCTCAAGTGCTAATGGAAGGGGATTCCCCTTCTAAACAGTAAGAAGATAACGCTCTCCCCTCCTCCCATCCCATCAATCATCACCAGATCTTCAATAAAGGTAAGTGTCATGTAACTGTGCATGTAATCTTCAATTTGTGTGTATTAAAATTAATATTTCATGTGGTAAACATTTTTTTTTTTCAATACTTTTGGGTGTCTTGCACGGATTAATTTGATTTCCATTATTTCTTACGGGGAAAATTAACTTGACTAACGATTATTTTGACTAACGATGAGCTCTCAGGAACGGATTAATATCGCTGGTTGAGGGTCCACTGTATTAGTAATATTAGTGTTATTATTAGTACAATTAGTACTATTATTAGTATTAGTATTACTATTATTAATACTATTATTTCTATTATTAGTACAGGTTGGGCATCACTAATCTGGCAGTCAGTAATCTGATCCATCAATAATCCAGCACTAATTTTGGCTAGCATAATTTTGAATTTCCGGGTTCGCCACATCAACCTTCTGCTACTGTTTGCTGGTGCTACTTGCTGCATAAGTCATTCCAGTTTCTTTTTCTCCATTTATTATTATAACCTGCTCACTTTTGGCCCTAGCCACGGTTCCAACGAATAAAAGAAGTGCTTCTCGTTGTGTACAGCACATACACCATACGTTGTCCATAAAAGATAAGGTGGCTGTGAAGCCTCTGTCAGTCACCATGAACTCACCTCGCTAAGTTAAGCTGTGACTGGTAAATTTGGGCCTAGATATGACAGAATAGGTCTGTGTGGTAAGTGTGCATTACTGTATATATATAAAAAAAATACTGCAGCACAGAGTGCATAATGAGAAAAAACTGCGACCTTGTTTTTAGCATAAAACAGCGACTTTGCGGTATATTTTCATGCGGGTTTTATGGATGTATTCTCATTTTGATAGAATAGAAGATATACTACAGAAATAGATATGATTTTGATTGCTTTCACAACAGAAAGTACCTTGAAATTGAGCTGAAAGTAGCAGAAATGTTCAATTTTTGCTGATGTTTAAGAGTAAATAAATGATGTCACCGTCCAATATGTGTCCAACTGGCTGGTCTAATACACAATCATGAATGGGTTGATGTTATTTATACAGTTATTACAATAATGCAGTAGTCTGCATAACAGTAAACCACCTATTTTTTGTGTGAATAAAAATTAAAAATGGAAAGCAAGAGTAATATAAGAGGGGCCTGGAGGTGTCACTAATGAACAGAGAAAATGTTATTTTAGTGTCATGAATGTCTAAACTGTTTATTCTGGACTCTATTTAGAAATTAGCATCTTTTGAAATTTGTGTGAAATTGGCCAAATTACCAATTTCTGACCACTACTGGGGAGTTAAAATAGGTAAATGGGTGGTTTCTTGTACAGCCTCTCCTCACTTAACAACAGAGTTCTGTTCCTAAGACCTCGTCGGTAAACGAATTCGTCGCTAAGTGAGGAGCATACTATAATGGTAGTGGGTTTGTCAGTCATCTTTGATATTGTTTTAATGTTACCTTTGCACCATTTATAACATTTCTGGTATATTTTTAATTGTTTATGCAGTAGAGCACTGTATATTGTAATAAACAGAATAGAGGAAATCAGCTCTGATATACAGTGGAACCTCAAAAATCGAACTTAATCCGTTCCAGGAGCTAGTTCTAAATTCGAAAAGTCTGAAATTCGAAGCAATATTTCCCATAAGAAATAATGGAAATACAATTAATCCGTTCCGGAAACCCAAAAATATTCACACAAAAAATACATTTTATAGAGATTAATTACAGTTTTACATACAACAAATACTATAGTTTTTAATTATGTATAGTAATACATATAAAATAACATTTTTACTTACCTTTATTGAAGATTGGTGATGGCATCTGGAAGATAGGGAGGAGGAGAGAGGGAGTTGGGGTTAGTGTTTGGAAGGAGAATCCTCCTCCATGAGGACTTCAGGTAAAGCCCTCTCTGGGGTTACTTCCCTTCTCTGTCTTTTAATGCCACTAGGACCAGCTTGAGAGCACTGGACCCCTGTCTCACAAAATAACTGTCCACAGTCCTCTGTTTCTGGTGCCTCTAACATTTCCCTAAAATGGGACATGGTTCTGTCACTGAACTTGTTGCAGAGATGGCGTGTTTCAGCTTGCTCAGGGTGGTACTTCTGCACAAACATTTGGACATCATTCCACTTGGCACAAATCTCCTTAATCTTTGAAGAAGGCACCTCATCCACTCCCTATATTAACACCTTTCGCAACATCAGCTTCCTTGATTTGTTCTTTCTTTGACAGGATAGAACCGATGGTCGACTTGTTTTTCCCATACATCCTGGCAAGCTCAACAAGTCTCACACCACTCTCATACTTCTGTATTATTTCCTTCTTCACATCTATGGTGTTTCTCACTTTCTTTACCACAGGGGTACCACTAGCAAGTTTCTTTGGGACCATGGCAGCTTATTTCACAGTCCCACAAGCACTAAACACAACGAAATAATCGTAAAATGCGTGAATGAGAGTGCAGGTTAGTGTTCACTCAAGCATAAACAAAGCTAGACTGCTCACGGCGCCTGCGTGTGGACGCGGACAGAGCGGACGGCAGACAGGTCCCGTACCCGACGGTCCGAAAATGGGCGCGTTTGATAATAGGGACACAGTTTGTCTGAAAAAATGGTCCTATTTTCGAAACGTTCGATATGTGATACGTTCGATTTTTGAAGTTCCACTGTACATTATTTTCGTATGCATACTGGTCAGAGAGCCCATTGTAAGTCTGAGTCGTTGGTAAATGAGTGTGACGCTAAGTGAGGAGAGGCTGTACTCAATCGACAGAATAGAAGACGTACTAGCGAAATAGCTATAAGTTTGGTAAACTGGAACAATGGCAAAAATTGGCCATAAAGTGGGTGAAATCACTGATGCGTAAATATTGCCATTTGGTTAAGTGTTTTCTAACCTAACCACACTGTAATCCAGCAAAATAACTAATCCGGCACATTACAGGTCCCGATGATGCCAGATTAGTGATGGTCAGCCTGTACTGTTATTACTATTAGTATTATTATTACTATTATTAGTACTATTATTAGTACTATTATTACTACTATTACTGCTGTTATTACTGCTGTTATTACTATTACTACTATTTTTATTATTTGTATTTACCAGGACTCAGGATTTATCACAGAAGTTTATCATATTACTGGAGAAGGAGAAGATGCTGGGGTTGTGTATTCCGAGATGCAGGCTCGTGAGAATTCTGACAGTGACCGTTGCTACCGTGCCATGCTACGAGCCATGTATCCCGAGCCCAGTGGTTACCGCTCAGAGACTGGTGGAATCTTAAAGAATCTCCGTGAGAGCACCACAAATGAAAAGGCAAGCAGTTTTATATGTACAGTATATGCCTTGGATTTATGATGCACTACTGACAGACTACTGTAATCATGGCTAAAAAGCAACTTAGTGATGGCACTTCCCTGAAGGTTGAAAGTTAATTAAGACACTTGTGCAACATCTGGTCATCTTTATTGAAGATGTTTTGCCACCCAGTGGCTTTATCAGTACAGATTTCAGGACATAATTAGAAAACAGAAGAACTCTATACAAAAGATGAGGTGATCAGTCCTTCAGCCTTGGAGTAGATGTTGAGAGCACCGTGGTAGTAGAGATTCTGAAGCACAGGCAAGGAGACTAGCACTTAAACACGTGCCAGTGAATAGACATGTAGCAGATGAGGGCATAGTCACTGGTAGGCGGGATTCCCCAGTGGAAGTAGGTCCTACTCAAATTAATAGGTTAGTTGTAGTAGCCGTGAAGAAGGTCAAGTAGGTGTCCTCTGAACCAATATTCCTTAAAGGTTATATCCTGGTGATAGTAGCCAAGTTACATATATTTCAGACTTTCTCCTAAGTGGGGAAAGGGTGCCTTGATGCCAGGGAAGGGCTGTTAATACAAAACCTTAGCACCATTCATTGTATGAGATAAATAAACTAATGTGAAAGTTTTAAAATTATTCAAATTATATATTATCGAAATTCATACCAATGGCAACATAGTGCAATACAGTGTATTATTATTATTATTTTATTTTATTTATTGTTTCTGTTTCTTCTACAGATTCGCAATTATCATAAAGCCTTTTACCGTCCAGAAAACCTTCATGTTATTATCACAGGTCAAGTAGAGTTAGAAAAAGTATTTGCTGCTCTGGAACCTATGGAGAAGAAAATTCTTTCAAAGGTGAGTTAAAAGGAACATATTAAATATACTGGAGTACAAATAATGCTGCACTTCAGCTGTGTGAAAACGTTTGACTTGTAACGTGATTATGAATAATACTAATTATAATACAGTGGACCCTCGGTTATCGGCCGTTCCGGATATCAGCCAATTCAGTTATCACCTGGTTTTTTGGCTAAAATTTTGTGCCAATTATCAGCCGTTTTTTCAGTTATTGGCTGTATTGGATGCATCCACCCGTAACAAAGTACGAAAGTGAGGGAGGAAGAGAGAGGGGAAAATGTGCCTTCTTCATTAAGTGATTCTACGATATGTACGATACTAAAGCAGCAGGAGTCGATAAAATGTAACATTAAGCGATAGAAAAAGGATGACACAAAACTGACTCCTCAAATGATGTTGGAGGTATATAGGGCCACTGACAATAAATGCCGCCCTGCTTATCTTGCACCACCCTAACCCAGTGCCAGCATCTCCAAGGTACAGTAAGTTTAAATATTTCTTATTTATAAATTACGTACATTGTGTGAATGGTGGTGTTAGCAGAGCCACCAACACATGTACAGCTTATGCTGTCAGTGGCCCTTATAAACCCAACAATACCACCACCACCACCACCACCGTGCTCACATACTTAATGACATGTTATTCATTTTAGAGTATATAGCATGTTTTTATGTTACTAGTATTGTTTATTAGGTCATGTTAGATGATTTGTGATAGATAAATATGTGCCGTGGAATTGATAATAGCATCATATTTAAGCATTTTGTCCTGTTTCTAAACAAACTCGCTTCCCTCTCCGCTCCTCACCGTTTTGCATAGGGCAACAAGACTCTTCAATAATGATAAAAGTGATTTAAATCTTCATTTTTCCATTTCATTAGTCATTTTATTTAGTTCTCATTGTTTTGTGTATGTAAAATTATAGTATGAAAAATTATAGTTAATCTTGGGTGTCTGAAACAGATTAATTGGATTTACATTAATTCTTATGGGAAATATCAGTTCGGTTTTTGGCCATTTCAGTTTTAGGCTAACCTTCTGGAATGGATTATGGGTGATAACTGACTGTCCACTGTAATAATTTAGGATCGAGATCAATTGTCTTGCCTAGATGTCACAACTAACACACAGTAATTTCTCTAAGCCTTGAATGTCGGTGTCGTATATATATGTTTTACAAGCCAGTGTTTTTGACATATTAATATGCCAAAATTCTAGCGGCTTCAAATTGAGTAGGAGAAAGCTGGTAGGTGCACATGTGAGAGAATGCATGTGTGTGGTCACTGTGAGCAGTATGAATAAAATCCTGCAGCATGCAGTGCATATTGAAAAAAAAAAACACTCCGACCGTGATTTTGGATTAAGACACTGACTTTGAGGTGTATTTTCGTACAGTATTTATGGTTGTATTCTCATTTTCTTGGTCTCATTTGATAGAATGGAAGATATTTTACAGAAATAGATGATTTTGATTGGTTTCACGATGAAAAGTACTTTGAAATTGAGCTCAAAGTAGCGGAAATGTTCGATTTTTGCCGCTGTTGAAGAGTAAACAAATCACACCACACATCCTATACACATCAACTGGTGAGTCTAATATTCTTTCACAAGTGCACTGATTTTATTTATACCTTTTTTACAGTAATGCAGTAGTCTGCATAACAGTAAATCTTCTATTTTTTGTGAGAATAAAAATTCAAAATGGAAAGCAAGAGTAATACTATAAGAGGGACCTGGAGACATGACTAATGAACAGAGAAAATGCTGTTTTAGTGCCAGGAATGTCTGCCATGTTTATTCTAGACTCTATTTTGAAAATGGCCAAATTGCCAATTTCTGACCACCTTATTGGATAGTTGAAATCGGTAAATGGGCAATTTCTTGTACTCGATAAAATAAATGGAGTTCTAAAGAAAAAGCTATGAGTTTGGTCAACTGGAACAATGGAATTGGCCGAAAATAGGGCTCAAAGTGGGCAGAATCGCCAATGCGTATATATCGCTGAGATTGCTAACTTTGCAAGAATGTAATTCCATAAATTTTACATAAAATTTTGTACTTTTGATGTCATTACCATCGGGAAAAGATTCTGTATCATTTCATAAGTTTTTTTTTTTTTTCCAAATATTTTGCAACAGAGAGATGGACTTAAAGATTTGGGGTCTCAGCAGTCAAAGGGCTAAACCACCTTATTTGTGAAAACTTCAAACTAGAAGCTTTGTTAACGTTTGTTCTAATAACTGCAAAGTCACATAAAATTGTTAGACCCAAAAAAGAAAGAAAATCCCCTAAAAGAAAATACTTTCATCATCATTCAACACTTTCACCACACTCATACATTATCACTGTTTTTGCAGAGGTGCTCAGAATACAACAGTTTAGAAGCATACACATATAAAGATACACAACATATCCCTCCAAACTGCCAATATCCCAAACCCCTCCTTTAAAGTGCAGGCACTGTACTTCCCATTTCCAGGACTCAAGTCCAACTATATGAAAATAACTGGTTTCCCTGAATCCCTTCACTAAATATTACCCTGCTCACACTCCAACAGATCGTCAGGTCCCAAGTACCATTCGTCTCCATTCACTACTATCTAACATGCTCATGCACGCTTGCTGGAAGTCCAAGCCCCTCACAAACAAAACCTCCTTTACCCCCTCTTTCCAACCCTTTCGAGGACGACCCCTACCCCGCCTTCCTTCCCCTATAGATTTATATGCTTTCCATGTCATTCTACTTTGATCCATTCTCTCTAAATGACCAAACCACCTCAACAACCCCTCTTCTGCCCTCTGACTAATACTTTTATTAATTCCACACCTTTTCCTAATTTCCACTCGCCGAATTTTCTGCATAATATTTACATCACACATTGCCCTTAAACAGGACATCTCCACTGCCTCCAACCGTCTCCTCGCTGCTGCATTTACCACCCAAGCTTCACACCCATATAAGAGTGTTGGTACTACTATACTTTCGTACATTCCCTTCTTTGCCTCCATAGATAACGTTTTTTGACTCCACATATACCTCAATGCACCACTCACCTTTTTTCCCTCATCAGTTCTATGATTAACCTCATCCTTCATAAATCCATCCGCCGACACGTCAACTCCCAAGTATCTGAAAACATTCACTTCTTCCATACTCCTCCTCCCCAATTTGATATCCAATTTTTCTTTATCTAAATCATTTGATACCCTCATCACCTTACTCTTTTCTGTGTTCACTTACAACTTTCTACCTTTACACACATTCCCAAACTCATCCACTAACCTTTGCAATTTTCTTTAGAATCTCCCATAAGCACAGTATCATCAACAAAAAGTAACTGTGTCAATTCCCATTTTGAATTTGATTCCCCAAAATTTAATCCCACTCCTCTCCCGAGCACCCTAGCATTTACTTCCTTTACAACCCTATCTATAAATATATTAAACAACCATGGTGACATTACACATCCCTGTCTAAGACCTACTTTTACCGGGAAGTATTCTCCCTCTCTTCTACACACCCTAACCTGAGCCTCACTATCCTCATAAAAACTCTTTACAGCATTTAGTAACTTACCACCTATTCCATATACTTGCAACATCTGCCACATTGCTCCTCTATCCACTCTATCATATGCCTTTTCTAAATCCATAAATGCAATAAAAACTTCCCTACCTTTATCTAAATACTGTTCACATATATGCTTCATTGTAAACACTTGATCTACACATCCCCTACCCACTCTGAAACCTCCTTGCTCATCCGCAATCCTACATTCTGTCTTACCTCTAATTCTTTCAATTATAACCCTACCGTACACTTTTCCTGGTATACTCAGTAAACTTATTCCTCTATAATTTTTACAGTCTCTTTTGTCCCCTTTCCCTTTTTATAAAGGGACTATACATGCTCTCTGCCAATCCCTGGGTACCTTCCCCTCTTTCATACATTTATTAAACAAAAGTACCAACCACTCCAACACTATATCCCCCCCTGCTTTTAATATTTCTGTCATGATCCCATCAGTTCCAGCTGCTTTACCCCCTTTCATTTTACATAATGCCTCACGTACCTCCCCCACACTTACATTCTGCTCTTTTTCACTTCTAAAAGATGGTATACCTCCCTGACCAGTGCATGAAATTACTGCCTCTGTTTCTACCTTAACATTTAAAAGTTTCTCAAAATATTCTCGCCATCTACCTAATACCTCCCTCTCCCCATCTACTAACTCCCCTATTCTGTTTTTAACTGACAAATCCATACTTTCCCTAGGCTTTCTTAACTTGTTTAACTCCAAATTTTTTTCTTATTTTCATTAAAATTTCTTGACAGTGCCTCTCCCACTCTATCATCTGCTCTCCTTTTGCACTCTCTCACCACTCTCTTTACCTTTCTTTTACTCTCCATATACAGTGGACCCCCACATAGCGAACGCCTTGCATAGCGAACATTCCGCATAGCGAACGCTTTGATCGCTAAAATTTTGCCCCGCATAGTAGACAAAAACCCGCTCAGCGAACTTCGTCTGAGACACGTCCAATGTGGGCCCTCAGCCAGCCTCACATGTGCCGCCCGTCCCATTGTTTACCAGCTAGCCTCCGCGGTAACATTCAAGCATACACTCGGAATATTTCGTATTATTACAGTGTTTTCGGTTCTGTTTGTTGAAAATAAGTGACCATGGGCCCCAAGAAAGCTTCTAGTGCCAACCCTGTGGTAAAAAGGGTGAGAATTAGTATGGAAATTAAGAAAGATTTTGAAGGGTTTGGGGCTAACCCTGAGAAGCCTATCCCAGTTGTGGAATCCATTGTGCCTACTTCAAAAATTAAGGAAATGTGTGCACAGTGGGTTGAACTGAAAACCCTTTATGGATGAAAATCACCCGGGACACAGCTGTTGCAAGGCGTGCGGGTGACTATTTCAATGACAATGTTATGGCCCTTTTTAGACAAATCTTTAAAGGAACGGGAGGTACAGAGCTCTATGGACG